TTAGTTTTACTTGCATTACTTACTAAGCACTTCAGGAAAACCTCTGTTGCATCCTCTCTGAGGACAATGGGCAGGCCTCTCAGTGCTGCTGTCTTTCCGTGGGACACGATGTCGGATGTCTTAAGAGTATTCAGTAGAAAACAAGCATTTAAATTAGTATAGTAACTGTGTACTTACACACAATGCAAAATCTGAACTCTTATAGAAATGAAAATAAAGCACAGGTCAGACCCAGCAACACGTAAAACACAAAAAACAAGTTGTTAACATGTTAACAATTTGACTTTTTTTTTTACAAATTAAATAAAATATCACCAAATAAAGACAAAGTAATGACTGATGACATTCATTTTTACTGACATGTCCATTGATGTGTTTTGGCTGAAGCCAACATTTTTTTCTGTTTCTGTTATGAGAAAAGTAGACTCTCTTCTAAAAATGTCAGGTAAAGGAGCACTCACCTGTTCATCAAGTTCATCCAGGAGGTCTTTGCTTGTGATCCGATGAAGTTTTTCCAGATATCTAAACAAGACATTCACCAAAATATTGTCATTTATTCAGCACAGAAAATCCCTGGGTAGCTGTCTTGGACAGTCTGCACCATGTTATATGCCTGACTGTGTAATCAACAGCAAAACCTACTTCAAAAATCTCTCATGAATACACATTTTGCACAGGAATAGAAACACCCTCCACAAAACCCAGTATCAATATGCAAATACATATTATGTTCTAAGTTGCACCAAAATCTGTGACCAATCAGATTCTGTGACCTGCCTTAGTATTCTTTCCCTAACCATCTCAGTCTATAGAAGTCCTATTTCCAGCTCTAAAAGAAAACAAAACAAAACATACTAAGTCAAAATTATGAGATTGACTTTCTGTTTCACATGAAGAACAATTTTGATTTAGCATGGGGACTCTTTTCTTGTACTGGCAGAAATGTTGTGAGTGCACTCTGACACTGTGCTGGGCCCATCTCTATACATGACTGTCAGCTTGTTGCCACGCTCTGTGCTGCTCTCCCTGAGTGAAGCTAACTCAAACCTGTTTGTGTCTGTGTGGATTTATTTCACATTTCCATAACATGACATGCTTTAATCATCATCATATCTCATTAACTTTGGCACAAAGAGCTGTGCGTTTGCATTTTCAAATCTAGACATTATGTTTTGAACTTTTGAACAAATGATTTCCACCAATGAAGACTCTGAGCACGCCACAAACACATTTAATGAACAGCATGTGTAATTCCTCATTTATTCTAGACCTACATCAAGCAATAAAATATTATAAAGCCGTGCGTTAGTATTCATTCACGTCAGACTTTTTGGTGTTGAGTATATGGATGATCAGTAATAGAATAGATATGATTCATTATGGATAAAAACCTGAATGAGGCCTTTTCTTTTCATTTTCTCTCCTTTATTATTTATAACACGCTGTTTATGTATTTATGGCTCTGTTTGGTACATTTAAATGGGTTTTAGGAAGAAAGAAGGACGTTTATTCCAAGCGGAACAAAGAATTTACACATCCTCCTCCTGCCGGAACTTCAGAGCGGGACACGAGGCGGAAGTAAACATTTTTAAAAGCCGGCAGTTTGGATGTTCCAGCGTGAACTTTTGAAGGTTCGCTTTATGCTGTGTGTGAGCTGTGGCAGTAACAATGCCTTCAGTTCAGTATCTGAGAGAGGTTATCAACGAGCGACTAACTGCTGCTGCTGAACAAATATTCTTGGAGTTTGAAAAAACGATCGTCCAGTACGAGGAAGAGATCGACCGTCAGCGCAGACTGCTGGATATCACCTGGAAACCCGAAATCAAGCTGCACAGGACAGGTGAGTGTCCCTCTGAGGGAGGATCCTGATCACAGCTCTGTGGTACGTTTACTTTGAGGCTGCGGGGATGTTTCTGGAGGACAGAAGGTGAATGTGTCTCTGTTTAAACAAACATTCAGCTCTAAACTCACCCGAGGACGCTGCACTGAGGCAGGGTTAGGGTTTTCCTCTCACACTTCCAATTCAATTCAATTTTATTTATATAGCACCAAATCACAACAACAGACGCCTCAAGGTGCTTTATATTATACAGTAGATGCAGAGAAAAACCCAACAATCATATGACCCCCTATGAGCAAGCACTTTGGCGACAGTGGGAAGGAAAAAATCCCTTTTAACAGGAAGAAACCTGCTGTGATTGGTTGGGGTGACAGAAGGAAGACAGGATAAAGACATGCTGTGGAAGAGAGACAGAGGTTAATAACAGATATGATTCAGTGCAGAGAGGTCTGTTAACACATAGTGAGTGAGAAAGGTGACTGGAAAGGAAAAACTCAATGCATCATGGGAATCCCCGGCAGCC